CATTTTACAAATCATTTTAGTATTGAACATACCAGTGGTGGTGCAAATTGTAGGTTTTGATGGGGTTGAGATCCATGGTGGCTACCTACACGAGCAATTTATGAAAGATAAACCGAATGACCGAACAGATGAATATGGTGGATCCCTTGAGAACCGTTGCCGATTTACTCTGGAGGTTGTTGAAGCTGTTGTCAATGAGATAGGGGCTGAAAGAGTTGGAATTAGATTATCACCTTTTGCGGATTATGAAGAATGTGAAGACTCAAATCCTAAAGAATTGGGCCTTTATATGGCTAATGCCCTCAATAAATATGGTATTCTGTACTGTCACATGGTAGAACCAAGAATCAAACTTGGTGGAGAAACAGTTGAATGCCCTCATAGCTTGGTGCCAATGAGAAAGGCCTTCAAGGGAACTTTTATGGCTGCAGGAGGTTATGACCGACGAGACGGGATCAATGCCATAGCTGAAAACAGGGCAGATCTTGTTGCTTATGGTCGTTTGTTCTTGGCTAATCCAGATTTGCCAAAGAGGTATGAGCTTGATGCTCCTCTCAACAAGTATAACTGGGAGACATTCAACATTCCTGATCCAGTTCTTGGTTATACTGACTACCCATTTCTTGAATGAAGAAACTAGTGCCGTAGCATCCAAGCGTAGAACCTCCTTATTTAATAAGCTTTTGTTCCCTTGCACATTCCTATTTGCAATTTGGTTGCTTAGTGTAATACGAATAATGATGCATATATCATTACCGACATATCCTTCACATACTTGTCTGCTAATAATGCTTTGGATCCAGTTGACACATTTTCTAAATGGTGAATTGGGCACATAGTATGTAAAACTATTATTGTGTAATAATGTAACAGAATGCCAACAAGAAATGTTATGGAAAAGCTATGTACCTGATTTTGCATTGCCATATGAGCTTTGTGCCAGAATGAAGGTTATATCAGTACCCAATTCTTTTATTTTATTTTTGCCAAGTGTTGGTAATTATCGTGTTGATCCTAATTCCTAACTATTTGGGATGAAGGTAATGTTGATATAGATACTAAAACTCCCAACTAATAAAAGCTAGAGAACTGAGCCAATTTTCTTGTTCTTTGAAAATCAGACGTCAAAGACAAGGAACTACTTTTGGTTTGGCTTTCTTGCACATGCTGTGCAATTCAGGTCCCCTCTCAGCCCTACCCTACAGTGTTTGGTTCCTCAAATATGTCAAATGGCTATAACTACAACTTCAGATTCAGATTGGATACCCTGATATTCTTGCTCAAAATAAATATATAAATAAAGAGAGGAAACTATCAAATCCTACTTCTTCATTCATGTGTGACAATTCCAAAATCTTATAACCTATGTTTTAAAATCACAATTCCGTGTACTTCATTAATTTTTTTGACTAATTCTCTGATCTCATTAGAGACAAAATGTTAACATCACAAAATATCCTAATCACCTATTAGTAGAATCACTTTTCATTGCTTGCAACATAATTCTCATTATGGCTAGAAACAATTCGGATCCACCTCCTCTCACCATTTTAGAACATTTCACAGCCACTTACAAAAGCACATACTTGGGGACGTGACCTTCGAACCTTTTGCCTATTACACCCTCTCTCTGCCGTCGTCATAAGCGCAATTCACGCCTTAGGGCAGGAACTTCGAACCTTTCGTCTATTGCACTCTTTGTGCCTTTTATGTGCACTCTTAAATACCTGTAAGTAAACATATCACCCTTTCACTACTATAATACACAGTGAATTCCACCATTTCACTATTTCTTCTACTCCTTCATGTTGGTCTCTTCTCTCTTTTTCCTTCCTCTTCATTTGCTTTTTCCCACTGAATCTTAAGATTCTTTTGAAAGCTTAATTAAACTTTGAAGCCCTACCATTTTTTTTCTTCTCTTGCAGTTGCAGGTAGATTTTGGGGTAAATTTTGAAGTTAAGGGATGTGCTCCAAGGAGAAAGGGTTGCAACCCACTTTTTAAAAATTTATTTCTTGAGCTCTTTGAGACAAGCCTATTATCCAAACATACGGAAATATTTATATCTTTGCAGTGGTGGTCGGATTTGGCTAAAATCTAGTTCACTAGTTACCGGACGTGCTTTAGTTGATTCTTCAAACCTCTAAGTGAATAATGATTATGAAGACATATTTTACGATTATTTTCTTTCAGATTCAGTTATATAATTATTGTTTAATATGTCTATGGGAAAACAAATATTTTATATTATGATTGGTTAAATTTCATATTTCAAATTTATATGTTATGGATATTTTTGCATAATAACATCATGTTTATGATTTGTGATATTAATAATTATTTTGAAATATTAGATAGAAAATTGAATATATAGATATTTTATTTAAATGTATGAGATTCAATAATTTTATTTATCATTGAAAATAGATTGATTTGAACCAAAAGTTAATTTATGAAATTTTTATATATATTTTTGGGATCCATACCAAAAGTTGCCAAGTCAAGGGTGTTTGAGTTACGTTAGCTTGTGCACCGGTCATGTCTCAAATTTGGGTCGTGACACTAATTGCTTTGAGTGAGTCAACAGATCAGCCATGTAACAGATTCAGTAAGAATCGGTTCGACCCGGTCTGTGTTTGGAAAAAAATTGATGACCAGGCCGATTGAACCGGTGGGTCATGCAATTTTTTTATAAAAAAAAAATGCTGAAATATTGTGTTTTTCCACCACTACTAGCAACTCAAATTCCTAAATTGCAACACATATATGTATATCTAAGTATTTGAACATTTTTATGAAATTTTGATTCTAAAATATATATTTGCATATATTTAATGAGGTAGGATGCTTTGACACCGGTGTCAAATTTAAAATTTGACACCTCATCTGATAGCCGTTAGATCAAAAAAGATCAACGACTTTGATTTGTAAGCATGTGACACCATTGATCTTTTTTGATCTAACAACTATCATATGAGGTGTCAAAGGATCCTACCTCATATTTAATATATTTATGTAGGTTAACCCTGTTTAACTAGTGACCCATTAAATCGGTACTCGGGTCAGATTTAATAACATTTTTTCGACTTTTGAATAATTAAATTGTAACATAAAATTTTAAACATAACATATGTATAATGTAAAATAAAAAGTACATATTTAATAAAATCTATTAATTGAAATTTTTTATAAACATTAAATTGATAAGTAAACATTATTATTATCTAGATATGAAATGGAAATTTCAACTTCACCATTATTATTATTATTATTATTCTTACAATAGACTGTATGTCATCAAGTACAAAACATCTTTATTGCGACTTTAAGTTCTTAATCAATGTTAAAACTTTGTGATGATTTTACAACTTAGATGAATTAAGATTATTATAAAAAAATTTGTTTTTAGATTATCTTTATTGCAACTTAAAGTTATTAATCAATGTTAAATGCCTTGCTGCAACTTGAGCATCGTTTATTTGTCTGATAGAGTCCACTGCTTCTTGGTTAGACATTACCTTTGAAATATTGGACAAAATTTTGTCAGTCAAGTGATCTACTAAATAAATGTAGAAAATGAAAAATAAGCCTCTAAGAAAATAATGTCTGCCCACCTCAACCTTTAAACATTAATTTGAGGCACCACACAATGTGGTTATAGTTACCGCACTACAGACTCCCACCTTATTGTATAGAACATTTAAGAAGTATTAATCATAGGAAATAGGTTCTCAGTTTGATAATGTACATTGCAATGCTACTGCCCCCAATTATGAACAACTATTTCTAGCATAATAATTGAGTCAACTATGCATAAAATATAAGAAAATACTATTCTCATGTTATAAAATTCTCTCCTACACACTTTTCGATAATTGTGTCACTTTTTTTTTTTTTTTCAAATGATAGAACCTACAAGTTTGTGTCTATGACATGAGATAATTTATCTCACATGATATTAATAAAATCCTAAAATATAACCTTCAAATACATCATTGCTTCTGAATCCAAAAAAATTGAACAAAGCAGTCAACATGAGAAGTTTAGAGTATCTATGGCGACAAACATTGTAAATTGAGCCCATTAAAATTCACCCGCGCATCCCGAAATGAATTACAGCAATCCGATCCTTTATCTATTTTCTTGAACGGGCCAAAAACGACACTAAAAAATCTGAGGATCAAAATCAGGCCATCCAATGAAGAATACAAAATAATGGGTTCAATGAACTCCCATGCAAAGAGCAACCTGGGCAGGTATATTCAATAATTTAAAAAATTAATATTACATAACAAAAAATTAATTTAGTAATATGAAGTTTAATTATATATTTTATAATAATTGATTAATATAAATAATTGATATTATAACACGGTGGGCCGCCCAGGCGGGCGCCGCCTCATTTTAAAAAGGGACCAGCCTCATTATTTGAAGGCAAAATGAATACACCAACGCAATGGAACACGTCATTCATAAACCCTCAAACAAATTAAGGGATTATATTTTTTTATTTTGTGGAAGATAATTTTATCTCATATACACACAACACATATACAAGTGTGCGAGATCATGGTAAGAGAAGAGTGAAAAAAATTGGATTTGAATCTTTTTATGTGAAAAAATGATCATGTTATTTGATCAGAATTACTCATTTTAATGAGTAATTCTGATCAAATAACATGATCACTTTTTCATATGAGAAGATCTAAATCCCCAAAAAAATAATATGAACACCACGTACTTTTATGTATATAGAGAATATAATATTATCTCACGGGAGAAAATATTATTTCCTATATATAGAAAATAATATTATCTCCTGTGACATAACATATATTAATCCCATTAATTAATTTTACAGTACTCAGAACTTGGTGCATGTATTGGATTGCTCATTGGCCACAATACAACTACCGACTTGTTTTGTTTCTATAAATAGTGACACACTCTTCATGTTGAAATAGAAGATCCTTGCCTCGTTAGTTACCCTCTTGAAATTGAAATGGCTGCTGCAGATTCACTTCCTCTTCTTACTCCTTACAAGATGGGCAACTTCAATCTATCCCACAGGTATTCTATTTTCATCTTTTTTAACTCTACAACCAATTTTTTTTTCCCTTTTCCAATTTGCTTCACCCCTTCTTTTAACTTGTCATTTTCAGAGTTGTTTTGGCGCCACTCACCAGACAGAGATCTTACAACAATGTTCCTCAGCCGCATGCTATACTGTATTACTCTCAGAGAACTTCTAAGGGAGGTCTTCTCATAACTGAAGCTACTGGTGTCTCTGACACTGCTCAAGGGTAACTAATTTACACTCTTATCATTCTTCATGTTTATTCTACTTTGCTTCATATCATAACTCATTTTTTTCTTCATTATATATTAATAAAACCAAAATCCACTCCGTGAAATGTGATTTCTTTTTTTTTTATTGTATATATGTGTGACTGCAAAGGTTACTACACACGCCAGGCATATGGACGAAAGAGCAAGTGGAAGCATGGAAACCCATTGTGGATGCTGTTCATGCCAAAGGTGGAATATTCTTTTGTCAGATTTGGCATGTTGGAAGGGTTTCAAATACAGGTAATTCCTCATCAAATGAAATTAGCTGCTATTAACTGAGTTTTCTCTGCATATAAACCAACTTTAATTTTAACTTGTTTCAGTAGACAAACACGTACATGAGGGAGGGAATTCTGTTGAATTGAACCTATTGCTTTGATTCTCCTGCCTCTGGCCCTCTCTTTGAACTCAGCGTTCTGCTATAACTTTTTTTTGTCAAAATGCAAATGTGGAAGGAATTATTATAAGAAATTGGTTATCAAAATATGACATATGCTAGGACATGTTAAGCTAAGGAAACTTGATTTGATATCAGCTACGTTCTGATATTTTGACATATAATTTGGAACAGTTTATCAGCCAAATGGGCAAGCACCAATATCGTCCACAGACAAGCCACTCACACCACAACTTCGTAGAAATGGCATTGATGTAACACAATTCAGCCCACCAAGGCGCCTAAGGACGGATGAAATTCCTCATATTGTCAATGACTTCAGACTTGCTGCAAGGAATGCTATCGAAGCTGGTAACTTCACGTACTGACTTTCTAGTCTACCAATGCTTCCAAAATTTGAAGTTCTTCAACAATCATAATAATATATGGTTTCTACTTTCAAGAAACTTGACTGTTTGTTGCTTTAAGAGGCACTAGGACGTTTTACAAATCATGTAACATAACCGTGGTGGTGCAAATTGTAGGTTTTGATGGGATTGAGATCCATGGGGCTCATGGCTACCTACACGAGCAATTTATGAAAGATAAACCGAATGACCGAACAGATGAATATGGTGGATCCCTTGAGAACCGTTGCCGATTTACTTTGGATGTTGTTGAAGCTATTGTCAATGAGATAGGGGCAGAAAGAGTTGGAATTAGATTATCACCTTTTGCGGATTATGGAGAATGTGAAGCCTCAAATCCCAAAGAGTTGGGGCTTTATATGGCTAATGCCCTCAATAAATATGGTATTCTGTACTGTCACATGGTAGAACCAAGAATCAAACTTAGTGGAGAAACAGTTGAATGCCCTCACGGCCTGGTGCCAATGAGAAAGGCCTTCAAGGGCACTTTTATTGCTGCAGGAGGTTATGACCGAAAAGATGGGATCAATGCCATAGCTGAAAACAGGGCAGATCTTGTTGCTTATGGTCGTTTGTTCTTGGCTAATCCAGATTTGCCAAAGAGGTATGAGCTTGATGCTCCTCTCAACAAGTATAAGCGTGAGACATTCTACACTGATGATCCAGTTCTTGGTTATACCGACTACCCATTTCTTGAATGAAGAACCTAATGCTGTAGCATCCAAAGGGTAGAAGAAACCTCCTTATTCAATAAGCTTTTCTTCCCTTGCAAATTCCTATTTGCAATTTGGTTGCTCAGTGTAATAGGAAGACTGATGCTTCTTCTTTTTTTATCGACACACTTGTATGCTAACGCTTTGTATCCAGTTGACACATTTTCTAAATGGTGAATTGGGCACATAGTATAGTATGTAAAACTATTATTGTGTGTAATAATGTGACTGAATGCCAACAAGAAGTGTTGGGCAAAAGCTATGTACTTGATTTTGCAATGCCATATTAGCTTTGTGCTTAAAAGAGGATTCTTTCAGTTTCCAACTAATTCTTAGTGTTGTGTAAGTGTAACCATCATGATGCTAATTACTAACAACTCCCAACTAATAAGAACTAAAAACTGAGCCAATTTCCTTGTTCTTTGAAAGCCCGAGGTCAGAAGCGAGGAAATCTTCTCTCCTCTTTCTTTCTCTAATCCACTCTATTTTAAATTTACTTACAAGGTTTGGTTTCTGGTTCAAATGATAAAAATGGTTGAACCATAACAACAGTCTTCTTTGTTTCTTAGCTTTAACTAATGCACATATTCGTACATATGTATATTTTATTGAAACGTAGAATAAATAAAGTGTTCCGCTATTATAATTTTATTATTTAAAGAACTTTATAAAAGCATGCAATAAGTAAAGTGTTTTCACTACAATAATTTTATTATTTTAAAGAACTTTATAAAAGTATTCAATCACTAAAATGTTCCATTATAAACAACATTTTCTTTAAAATAATAATTATTGCGAAACACTTTACTCATTGCATACCTTTATAAAAATAATAAAATTACTGTAGTGGAGGAGTTTATTCATTACATAATTTTGTAAAGTATAAATGATACATATTTGTTAAGAACCTTGAGGTCATCAATGTGAGATTATATTTCTCAACACGCCCCCTCACACAAGAGCCCACTGGGCTTGAAGGGTGGACAACATACAAGCCCACCTACATGTGCAAATTCCACTACAAAGAAAGTGGGAGGTGGTGAGATTTCGAACGCTTTGATACCATGTTAAGAACCTTAAGGTCACCATCCCAAAAGCTAGCTCAAAGGGTGGGAGTGCCCAAGGCCTTATAAATTAGTTGCATATACAACCAATGTGAGACTATATTTCTCAACAATATTCATGTGTATGTGCACTAACCATTAAAAAGTTTGCATTAATAATATTTATTATTTTAATGAATGTAAGCAATAAAACAAATGCATCTTACAATCTTATTTTTTTATTTTTGAAAATTTCAAATATGATAGGTGATTTTTTTTTTTGGGTTTAATATCTCTTATATTGTAGAATATAAAATTATTTTCTATATATACATAAAAAATGTATGAGACTCATATTTTTTCCCTCTTTCTTCTCTTCACAGAGACCCACATACTTTTATGCGTGTAAGAAATAATTTTATCTTCTACAACATGAGAAACATCAAATTCTTAATTTTATTCCAATTATAGAATTGAGTGATGCAAGTTTAGTAATTTACATTTAGATGGTGTTTGGTTCCATTCTTTTCAACATATTCCTATGCAAATGAAGTATGGTTTTTAGAAAGCCAATGTTTGTTTCAATAGATTTTGACCAAATCTCCATCTATGTGATTTGCATGGCTTTTTCAACTTTGGCCGAGAAAGATAGATATTGGCACTATTTTGAAAGCTAATTTGAGGGTGGTTTTTTTTTTAAAACCTGGATAAGGTACTGTCCACACCATTTTTGGACTCCCATTATACCCTCCTCCCATTATACACTGTTTAGAAAGGTATTGGCTAAAGCGCTTTGGCCACTTGTTTAGTTAATAAGCTGTGTATGGGGGTTAATTTTGTAATTTTACATCATTTACCCATCAAAATATTTTTTTTAACCAAACATAGGTTTCCAAAATTTTCATATATTTTCCTGGTAAAATTATGTCAAACCAAACTATTTTTTTTTAACTTCCCCATCTATTCAACTTTTCCTGTGGATTCCTAGTAATTACATTTCCCTAGTATTCTTAAAATTTATCTTCAACCAAACGCCCCCTTAGGAATTTTTTCTCAAGATACCTAGACATTTCAGAATGGTATTCCAAGTTGTCCATGTTTGATACAAGTTTTTGAAAAATTCACTCAATAAACTAATTTACTCATCATTTCTCGTTTCTTTAAAAATTGTGATAAATAACACTGCTTAAGATACAAGTGGTATTTTAAGATTACTGACAAAATGAAAAAAGGAGCATCAAGTAGATGACGAAATTGACTCTCTTCTAACCCTATTTGTGTACTTTGCAATATTATTTAGTAAATGGTTGCTTTCATAATTTCATTCCATTTTTTCAGTAATATTTTACTTTTAATCAAACATAGACTCATGAAACTTAACCCAATTTTTCAGTAATATTTCGGCCTATCAAATAGTTTTTTTTTTAATTTCCCTAGAAGCTCACTTTCCTATCATATTCTCAATAATTGTAACTCTTTGTTTCTACTGTACCAAACACCAGCCAACAACCTTGACCCAGTGTCCGAGTTAATCAGTGCCTCGTGTTCGATGAGTGTAGAAAGAGTGAATGATGTGACGGACCAGAATACTAATGGTGTCAAGGTCAAGCCCAAGATAGGTCCCAAACGACCAACCGACTTGGATCAGTACTATTGCAAGCAGTAAGGCCCAGTTAATCCAGATGAATCATTGTTTTTTTTTTTTTGGTAAACATCATTGTTTTGTTTTTATTCATTCATACTTTATTTCAGATACACCTGTTTGTATGGGATAGATTCCCAGCCTATGTTAGGAAACTCTCTTTTGTTAAATATTCCATTGATGAATGAGAATAACATGTGAAGTTTGTTCCAATTTCCTCTTTTTCTCTTCTCTTCTTCTTCTTCGCCAACATTCTTCACTGTTCTTCCTTTAATCGTCATAAAATTCCAAAAATTACCCTAACTATGCCCTTCTTCCATCTTCCCAAACAAGAGAAACAAACTCCAGAAAAAGAACACTTTGGAGTTTGGGCCTCAATATGTAACAAACTTTTTAAATTGACCCGTCTCTGACCCAAAAAAATTAATAACTCGATGTGGGCCCGCCTATTTTATAGACTTCCAATCCCACTAGGCACATGATCTAAACTCAATATAGGCCGGCGGCCCATTCCAGGAACTACCAATCTTACGAGGCATTTGATGACGACGTAATTACTGCATGTGTATCTTGTAATGTGTTTTCATTTCTTTTTTTAACTTTTAACTAGAGACTTTTTTTTATAATTAACTAGAGACGTTCTTCACTGTAAAAAAAAATATTTATAAAAATATTTATAACGGCCTATTTTATATATAACAAAAATTGTCACTTGTAACGGCCTATTTATAACGTGCATTAGCAAGGATAATTCATTATGAATTTATTTTAAAATTTGTTAAATAAAATTTAAAACAAGAAAAGTTATAAATGACATATATATATATATATATATATATATATATTTAAAAGAGACTAAACTAAGAAATTAAATTATTTTCAAAGGAGTGGTGCATTCTCGAGATGAAATACTTAAAAATACCTTAAACTTGATAAAATTAACTTATACAAAATTTTACCCTCAAAAACTTGATAAAATCATATTCATGTTCACCATTCATAATTTTGCCCAAGAATATCAATGTGATAAATTTTTATTATTTTAGGTGGTTTTGTTCTCTTTATTAGTCAATTTTATCATTCATGAGAGCATTTGACAAACGGCCGCTTTCCCATTTGATATGCAAAGTCCTCAAGACATAAATCTTTTATAGAAAAAAGTTAGTACCACAATATTTTATCACCAAATTACTTTTACGTGGTGTTTGGTTCAAGTTTTTTGTTGAGATTTACGTGCATTTGGTTTGGTAGTCGATGATATCTTTGTTTGGTAGAGGGGATATAAAAATTTACTCATCAAAGTCATTTGTCCAGCAATTCAGAATCAAATGCAAAAATAGAAGAAACACACTATTGAAGTTGTCCAATCTCAATGTGATATTTGCATATTACCACGCAAGTGGGAAAAAGTTGACAAAAATTCACAAAATTTAACTTATATTTTTTGGTAAAATTTTCGCCAAACCAAACAACTTGTTTTTAATTTTTTATCAAACTTATTTTTCTATCATATTCATGATAATTGTATTTATCTAATAAAAAATATTTCCTCTACTAAACGCCCTCGTAAGAAGACCATAGACATTAACGGAAGACAAAAAAAAAAAAAAAAAAGACCGTTAAAGCCAGCATGGCTTTTAGTTAGCCACGTAGCCTTTACCCATTAATTTAATGTATATTAATACTAGAACAATAACCCTTTTTTTTTGGGCAAATAAACAATAACAAATTTAGGTAACGTAACGTTAAATTCTTGTATAAATCTGTTTCATTTGTTGACGATTGATTTTATTATGTACGGGATTTTTGTAACAGTTTTTGCTTTTATTTTTTTCACCGAATTAGTGTGTTGAATCTACAATTAACCAATCACCTACCTACATTTTGTACCACCACGTGTAACAGATCTAAATTTCTGGTAACTGCATATCATGGAGCCAAAAGCCTAGGCCAATTAATACAAAAAAAGAAAGAAAGAAAAGCCTAGGCCAATTATTTTATTGTAGAACTTGTACCTACAAATCCTGTGGTCCAACGCATTTAAGATTTTACCCACAAGCAATGGATTTTACATCATTTTGGAAGAGAAGCACTTTACCCACGAGGAGAGACTAGTCAATTAAGATAGGGCAGAAGAATACGTCTATAGGACATGATTATTACTTTATGAGCTTATTGTTTCTCTTTTTATTGAAATTTTTTTTCTTTCGTTGGTTTTATTATAAAGAAAAAAAATTTAATAGACCAATTTTTTCTGCTCCAAAAAAACCCTTATTTTATATTAGATAAAATTATTTTATATT